GTCATCCTCCACAGCGTCCTCCCACTTATTTGTTCCGCTCTGCAGCGGCAGGACAATGAGACATTTCTGTTGGTGTCCTGGCCTGAAGTTGAATTGCCATTAAAAAGCAGTTCAACCAAGTCGATGTAAAAGTTTATTTGTTAATTAGACGGAAGAAGAAGTGATAACATTAGTAAGTATCAATTGGATACATTTTGTTGAAACTTATTTTAAAGTATAGCATGGCTATCATCGTCCTTAAAAAGAAAGATAGAGCTTTTCGTCGGAAATAATTTTTAAAACAATTATAATAATAAATTAATTGGTTTACTGATCTGAGTTTATTGGCAATTAATATTTTAAAACAAGAGAGAACGCTATAGTCGGGTTGTTGACCCGACTATCTAATACCCGTCACTCAGCTAAAGGGAGTGCGAACGCTGTGTCGGGTTGGTGTCCCGACTAATAATCGTAACTCAGCTAAAGGGAGTGCGAGGGAGATAGATATATAATTTTTGATTGCGTATAACTTTTTAATGAATGGTCCGATTTGAAAAATGACTTCTACATTTCGATAGGTATAAATATACACAACAAAATTGCATTTATACTTCTCGGAAATCTTTAAAGATGTGGGCGCAGGACCCATTTTAAAATCGTTAGTGGGCGATTGTGGGCGTTAGAGGGGCGTGGCGCTCGGCTAAAATAAACTTGCGCTGCGTAGGAAGCCAAAGAATGTGTGTGGGAAATCTCAACCTTCTAGCTTTTGTAGTTTCTGAGATCTCAGCGTTCATACAGACGGACAGACGGACAGACAGACAGACAGACAGACGGACAGACGGACATGGCTAGATCGACTCGGCTAGTGACCCTGATCAAGAATATATATACTTTATGGGGTCGGAAACGCTTCCTTCTAGCTGTTACATACTTTTGCACGAATCTAGTATACCCTTTTACTCTACGAGTAACGGGTATAAACATACTTGACCATATATTTCTGATATAAATCTGTGTATGATACACAGTTTCAGATGTGCCCTTTTCTAGATTATATTTTTGAATGTGCTTATTTACGGTATTTAATTTCTTTAAACCTATTTCAATCATTTAAATAAAAGATACCAACGCCAAACCACTTAGCTAAGCTCAATAAACAAATTAAAGCTTTTGAGATAAAATAAAATGCGAGGGCATCAGGATTCATCTTCCATTATGAGCACAAGAGCAGAGCCTTTGATGGTTGATGTCGCAGCCCGCTTTATTTATTGACTGTTAAACTTTTCATTAGCCATTTCGTTTAATTCGCACACAATGGCGTGAGATTGAAGAGCGAACCGAGGGCCTTCCCTGGGAAAGCAAGGGAAAATCCCAACAATGGCGGGGAGAAAATGGCAGCGGAAATACGCAGCATCACAAACAAACAACCAGCGGCACTAAGTATAATGTATTTGTGTTGAAAGACAACCACAGTGGCAGCTTTATTGCCAGTGTGTGTGTGATTGTGTGAGTGAGTGAGTGAGTGCCGGCGAATGTGTGCGTGAATCAAAGATACAATCAGTGCGCAATTGTCTGCGTTGATGAGCAGCAGGATCTGGGAGTCGCCCATCCTCGAACCGACCAATTCCCAAGCCATTGCCCATACAATATTCGCTCCTCTTCTCTCTTTTTATGACAAAAAATGCCGCGTAATCACAATGATAATCATCACACATCCAAATACCAAGGGGAACTTGACGAAATACATATAATTCCCATTATTATTGGGCTGAATAAGAAGCTTTTCATGCTGGTCATGATTGAGATTTTACTTAAAGTTGAGGCAATGTATTTCGAAACAGCATCCAAGCATTTAAAGGAATTGGAATTTATGTGCCTTGTCTTGCAGTTTGAAGTCCCCATTTAGTGAGCATAAAATTAATAGATTAATTGAAATCAAAGTCCCAGTCGAATTGAAAACAAATTAGTAATTAACAATGCATTTCAGGAAATTCACTATAGCCACTTTGTCTCGTAATTAATACCTTAATTAAAGATATCAATTACATTTTAGCTAACGATAATATAATGATATAGAGAAGGCTTCCTCTTATTAAGAGATATCAAAGTCAAGTCAAAATTAAAATTTTATTTATTTAAACATTTATTTATTTAATTTTCAATCAAAGGACTTTAATATTTGGCTGATGCTGATTGAAAATTGAATTTCATTTGCAGTATAATTTAATTGATCAAAATATGTGCATTTTATTATTTCATAATTCAAATGGGCAGCGTATGAGGCCTTTGAATAATGATGTTGGGCCACAATCAACTCATGTGTAAAATTGGTACAGCTATTGATTTACAAACGGGAAGAACCTCAATTGAGTTTAATTACTAATTAGAGTCCATTTTAATTAAGTTTATGAATGTAAGTTCTGACTGTGAACTGTGAATAACTAGCAAATAACAAGGATCATATGCCATCTCCTTTGGCAGATTTTCAAACAACAATGCGAATTTACCTTGTTTTGAACAGCCTAACTCAAATTAATATTGAATTTCAGTTGCAGTATAGACGTATTAAATGCCTGTCCGAAATCAACTGATTTGTAAAATTGGTAACAAACAGTAAACAGCCTTATTTTAATATAATATTAATAACGTCGAATTAGGACTGTGGATAACTATCTTATAATTAGGATCTAAGGCCATCAGACTTGGCAAATGTCTAAGCAATAAGGAGAATTTATTTTGTTTGCTACAACCCTACAGAACTTAACCTGCTTTACCGCTTCGCTGGGCCACAAGTATTTTAAGCGCATTTTCTCGGGGTTCCCTTAAAGGCGACAACTTTTGGTCTCAGCTCGAATACGAAACTTGGGGAGCAGGCAAACAACTTACAGCAGAATATACTCGCAGTGCAATGTATTCCATTTAATGCTCACACGAACAATGCTTGTATGCCGCCTGTGCATGTATTATTTGTGCTAAAAACGTCGGCGAGCTGACAGCGTGATGCCAGTCAGCCCAGCCAGCAATGGCCCGCATAAGTATGCTAGAAAAGTGTGTGTAGTCTAGAAGGATACCGACACAGACAGGACTTAAACAAGCATTCGAGTAGTGCGACATATTACAACCCCCCTTTTTCCACCCACTTCGCCTCTATGGCAGTCCACAGAACTTTAAGCGAAACTGAAACCGAAGCTTTCATCCATTTAGATGGCAAATGTCGGTGAGAGATTTATATACATATTTTTGTGCAGAAGTAATGGGCGGTTTTTGCAGCTTCCCACTGGAAAAAAAATCAATAACTCGGTTTTTAAATATTTTTGCTTTAAATTAAAAATTCTAAATTCTCTTATTAAATAGTCTATTTGCCTATCATTGTTTTCCTTGGTATTGTATATTTTCCATTTGCATTTCTCAGCAAGATTTTTAAAGTTTACGTAAGTGCAGCATTTCAGTGCTCCACCCACAAACCGCCTGGTGACGCTACATTCAAGTGATTTTTTGTATGCCACAATATTTTATATATTTTTTTTAAGAAATGTGTCAATTTAATGGCTTTGCTTTATGGGCGTGGTGGATTTGAAAAGGGCCCCGCAAGAATGCCTTTTACCACAGTTGTCTACTTTTTGTTGATATTTCATTCTCTTTTTTGTGGTCATTGCTGCGGTTGATACAAAAAAAACACAGTAAAATAGAATTTATACTGTGATGATGCAATTGCAATTGCATTGTTAATTTTGCAAAGTGCGGTTAACCGAGCGGACAAAATATGTTGGCAGCAATAAAATTAACCCGCTTTGTGTGGGTCAAAGTGGTCCCAAAAAGATAGTGTTCAGTGATGGACAAAAAACGGCTTAAAAATTCGTGCTAAATGTAATTGAAAATGTTAAAAAAAAATACCTGGAATTCGAGGGAGAATTATGCTCTTAATTTTGTATACAATGAGAATACCGAGAAGAGCCACCGAAAAATATCCTGGGCCTTTTTTCTTAATCGCCCCACTCACATTGGCCATTAACGGAATCATAAATTATTAACTAGGCACGAAAATCTGCAGCTGGATAAATGCTCTCAGCCAGAAAAGTGCGCTCAAGCAGACAAGGGCCCCAAGTCGAGGGTGGCTATATACTATATACATATCTCCAAAAAAAGCACAGCTACACACGACGACAACGATGATTCTGATGATGATGATGATGGGCCCGATGACGATGCTGATAATGGAGCTTACAACTCAAAGCCAGGGCACAGTTATTTACATGAATGTTCATTGTACATACAGCAAATCACACATACAAACAAGAGTCAACGTTTCCTGTTGTAACACAAATTGTGAACAATTTCACTAGTTCTATTTTGTTTTTCTTATTTTTCCCCCTTTCATATAGTTGGCAAGGATAACAGACTACGTATCGCCTCCATTGTTTTGCCAGGCGTAATCACAACAATGCCCAAATAATGACGGAAATACATGGGAACTATCCTTGGCCAATATCCTGTCCAACTGAAAAAATACAGTGTCGATAGCCCAAGTGCGCTAAATTGGATTGAACGCTGGTGTGTTTCTATGGCAACACAAATATGGCGAATATATTAAATCAACAGGATGTGCTACGTGATTTGGCAATGCCTAAGATAAATACAAACAGGAGCACCATCTATTTTCGTATAAGCATAAAAACTTGAAACCAAATATTATTTCAATAGCAATGAAGCGATATTCTTTTTTTATGGATTTTTTATGTTCAATAGAGGTTGTAAATTTGTTTTCCTTATTATTTGTATTTTGATATCCTAAATTTTTTTATCCAAAGTTGAAGAAATAAATTGATTAAATGTTTTTATAAGCTTAAACAAACATTCCACATATTTATTTGAAAAGAATTTGAAAACTATTAAAAATTGAAACTTGCAGTTCTGTTTTCTATATTTTTCATTGTTACTCAAATCCCGTTCTGTTACCAATATAGATAGTTTGTATTTAATTTCAGATTACAGCTTTTAAGCAAACTTAAGCAAACACTTACCTTATTCCGCCCACATTGAGTATAATCCGATTTTCGCCATCCATGTTGCATGCAACAGTTGTGGCAACAGCAGCCGCATGCCAAACCAATTCCTTGATGGCCCGCCAGCAAATCGAACAAAACCTTCGACACTCCTCGGTTGGCTTTCACTAGACGTAACCCTTAAATTTAACCAAAAGCTGCCCCACCATATGTAGGTATTTATTTTAACACGAACACTCCGGCACTCGAGTTCCACACGGCGGATGAGCAATCTGCTAGCTGGGTGTAATACTTTTTAATTAGACTTGGGCGCAGGTTGCATGCTGCACTTCCTCCACCTCTTCGGGTTCTTGGTTCTTCAGCACTCACAGCTGAGTTTGTTCTGCACTTGCATTTGGTGGCTTTGGCTTTGGGTTTATGGTTTTAGCTCTGCCCCTCCTCGTCTTCCATCTTCCTTTTTCACTTTTGGCCCTCGGCGTCTCGTTTGTCCTTTGACTGGGAAGTAAAAAGGAAACAAAATGGATTCCAAGGACTTTAGTAGAGTTATATGCACACCGAGATTGGGTTAATATCTGTGCAGTAATGCGTTATGTGCCCCGAAGATACATGCTCATGCTTATATATAAACTACCCTATATGTGTATGCAAATACTTGAGGCATAATCCCAGTTGCGCAAAAGTGCGCCAGCCTCGAAACTATTTTCCTTTGACAAACGCAAATTTAATTAGATATTTTTAGTGCAGGGAATTTCTCAAGTATTTCTCCAAGGCAAGGAGTATGAGAGTTAAGCTTTAATTGGAATTTTAGTTGCCAAGTGGTTGACATTGTTGGCTTTATAAAATGTTGAAAGATTCCAACAATCTTTTGTTGGGACAGTTGAACTTAATTCCATTTTGAAACCTTACCTTGAGGAACTATTTCCTAAGAGATGTATCTAAATATTTAATTTACACGAAAGGAAAAATTAGTTTACTGAAATTCTGTACCTAAATTGAATATTTTTCATTAAAAAATAGACGCTAACATTTTACAACATTATTTTCATTTTATAAATGAAAAATAAGCATCATTTCATGTTACGTTGAAAGACGCAACTCATCGTTTCACTTTGTCAAATCAAATTGCGAGTGGAGGCAGCTGAAAAGCCTGAAATAAATAACGCATACGCCACGAAAAGGCCCCAGGAAATTTTTCCAAATTACGAATGAAGCGAAAAATACAATACAAAAAGAAAAGTGAAAGTTAACGTTCAAGGATGTTGACGAAATCGTTGTGCCTCATCACTGCGGCAGTTTTATGGCCAATGATGTGGCCAGATATGGAGAGAGACTTGCATTGGGATTTTTTTTAGATATATATAGAAGGTCGTTCTTTTTTCGGTCGCTTTGGCTGAGTATGCAAATTTTTTACTTGGCCGCACTTTAGCAGCATTTTAGGCCAGGACTCGGGAGGAGTAAGCCAGGAGGGGCCATGTGTTCGCTGTCAAAATGACAAAATGTTGGTTAAGTGCGACGAGCGCACAAAAGTCAGAGAAAAGATAGGAAGCGAAAACAGAGAAGAGGTAGCGACAAGACCGCTCCACCGATCAACCGACTGACTGACTGACTGACTGACTATATAAAAAGGACACTCGACAGAAAGTACGGCTTGCAGTCGGAATGAGATTCCGAGTGAGCAGCTGGGCCAGCATCAAGTGCGTCATCAATCTCGGCGGCGTTTAGAGAGACTTTCCATTCATTAAGTGGCTGCCGCCGCCGAGGATTGACAGGAGCAGGTCCTCATCGCTGAGTGCTTTCAGTTCGCGCTTTGTCTTTGGGCTTTACCATCCACCATCTACCCCCATCCTCAAGCCCCCATCTCTCCTACCTCCCCACTTCACGGCTGCACCGCCTGTTAGTGGCACTTCTCAGTCTCCGGCTCGAAGGACCAAGGACCTACCAACTACCCCGAAATCAATCACTTGCTCAGTCAGGCCCGGCATGTTCGAGGATGGGACCTATCAAGTCCTTTGCTCGTTTCCCCTAGAGTCTCGTGCGCAAATGTGTGTTAAAGTGAATAATAAGTTTTTGCCAATTTTGTGTTGAGATGGAAGCGATTTGTTTAACTGCCTTCGGGGATGTCAACTGCTGTTTGCCCTGGGTATTGCCAAACAATTGACCCAAATATTTTTCAATATTAAAGCGGAGCTTTAAATTTTACATATTTGTTAAAGACCTAAGTAATTTTAATTGTCTGTAAAATATTCAATTTCGCTCATGCAGACAATATTTATCTGGCAAGTATAAATAAATAAAAAGACTGAATAAATTGAAAGTTTGCATTACACGAAATGCCCATTTTAATTGCATAAACGCAACGTCACTCATACGCCACATTAACCCAACTGGTGGAAGCAACCCCCTAGAAAAACACAAAAAAAAAAAACAATGAAAAACCGACCAAAATGGAGCAATGAAAATGGACACAGATAACGCTGACTTCGAATCCGAGTTGCGAATCAGATTCCAAGCCCAGCGGGAAAAGAGGAAAATCCGAAACTATGCTGCCCACAGAGCTATTGGAAAAAAAAAAGAACAGCAGAGTCATTCCGAAATGGGGAGGCAAACGGAAAAGTTTCGCTGAAAACAAAACTACGGCGAAACTAAATAGAAAAAGTTTCGGGTCAAACAAAACGTTTCCCTTTCGCTGCAGCGAAATAATGTGCAAATGAAGAGTGCAGCAAACGGCAACACTCAGACCCATAAATCGAGTTGCGTTTTCCTTGCAAATTAGGATTGCAAGGGACCGACGATGATGGCGAAAATCAATGGCCAGGAAGCGGGCTCCTTGGGCGTCGCGGGAAAAATACTGCGGACAAGGTCAGCCCGGCCATTGTCCAATTGTCCAGAGCGGAAATAGCCAGAGCCAAGAGCCAAAAAAGGGGTGAAGCTGGAGGGAAGTCGACGGGTATAAAGTTCTGCGAAAGACAGGGGACCCCTTTCCCCTTCCTGATATCGAACAAAACTATGCAACTTTAAGAAAAATCCTTGAATTGGATTTGCGAAATACCCTTAAAAGCGGACCATTTATTAAAATATTTTTCTGACATAAATAAATAAAATAAAATAAATATTTGGGGGTTTTTATTTAAATTTGTATTATTTTTCAACATCTATAAAAACACTATTTTTTATTGAGTGAAAAAAACAAAAAATATTTAAATAGAGCAATTTTTATATTCTGCTTGACTGTTTAATTCAATAATATCCGTTCTTAACATCACAGTAGCCAAATCAATAAATTTATACTACAAGAATAGGTATATTTTAAAAATCAATATAAATAACTATCTTAGTTTTCAAAATTGATTACAAAGTCAGTATTGTGTCAGGTCAGGGTATACATATGTAAACTGATTGTAGTAAATAAGAAGAAAAACTCTTTCTGACTTGTTTGCTTGCAGGCAAAATCCTGCCAAATGACAAACAATCTAGCTTCAGTTTATTGTTTGTGACTGTCTGCCTTGAAATGCATTATTTATCAGAATCAGCGCAAAGTTTCTGAAGTAAAAATCTTTTGAAAAAGTTTGTAAACTAAAATAGACAAGCATGTAAATCAAAGAAGACAGTAAGGCTGAAATATAAATTATTTTCTAATCTGTTCTAAATACTTTAAAGTTTTAATAAATCTAGGAAAAACGCAATATAATTAATATAAGAACGAGAAAGGGAAGATAAATACTTTGGCATATACTCGATACCTAATCGCCCTATTTTTCTGTGCAAAAAAGAATCAGACAATAAAAGGCCCCTGGGCTTGGCCAGAAAAATAAAAGATAACCTCAATCGGACTTCGGAGCAAAAAGAGCATTGGCCCATGATAAAAGCAAGGAATCCATAATTCGTTTGTCCGACCAACTCCAAAACATCCTGGACAGGACAAAGAAAAGGAGCCAACATAATCGCAAAAACATTGGCCCAGGCAAAAGGCAACTCAGCAAATGGGGCGCCTAAGTAGATGTACGGGGAAAATCGTGAAAAATCGAATTATGAATACGACGAGACAGGGGCAGGGAAAAGGGGGTGGCGGGAACGTCATGCAGCGCATTTGAAATCATTGGCCTGTACCGAATGGGATTATCCCCGGTCTGTGTTTGTTGTGCTGCTTGCTTTTAGCCCGAAAATATGATTACTATTTGGCAGCAGCTCCCACTTTATGGCTCCTTTAATGCCACGCCCCCAAAACGAGAGGAGTGGCGTGGGCGTGGCGACTTCCAGGAAATCCTGCCCCCGTTTCGGGCATTAAATAATAGACCATAAGAAATTGAATTGTAATTTATGCCATTTCTTATTCACCCCATCCGAGCGGTTTCTTGTGCATGTGAAATATGTTTGACAGATGCATAATTAATTAGAGCACAAAAGTGGAGAGAAAAGTTTATTGTCAAGCTTAGAAACTCAATTTTTATGACATAACCAGCAGTATTTGCATAAGAGCAGCAGCGATAGAAAGTTTATTTTCCCTTCAAGAAATTTAAACAAAAAATTTGCAATAATAAATTAGACAAAACGATTTTTACATAAATCAATACCCAATTATTTCTCTTTCAAAACTGAATAAAAAAATGATTTTAAAAAAATTATAATTTTTATGTCTGAAACTGGTATAACAAAATTAAATATATATCAAAAATATATTCAAGCGTCTCAAAATGACAAATTTATCAATTAAAGAACACTTTTGGCATCAATTTCTCGCATGAAAATTCAGTTGTAAAACGTTTTCGCACAGACCACTCACCACTCATCGATAAATACTTTAAAAAACTAGAAAAACGAAATCATGGCATAAAGATTTATTATCGACATCCGCAGCAGCTGTCAGCACAGAGTGGAATTTATGCTTTCCTTTTGATTTCCCACCCTACTTTGCTGTTTTTTTTTGGGGGAAAACCATCGCATCAGTCAACTCTCATTGGCAGTTATGGCGCGCGGCTCCACTTGGCAGTGTTTTTATTTTTGCATAACTTTTGGAAATCTCTTCAACTGCCAGGGAGTTCTTCAACATAGTACACATGCATACAAGTCTAACTTATTTTAGTGCTTGCATTGCTCTGAATATCCTTGTTCCCCTACTCCTCCTCAGTTATTCCTTGTTGA